GGGGGGGCTGTTTGTGGTCAATCTTAACGGCAGAGAGAAGCTGAGGAGGAAATGTTAACCACAGGAAGGAGGGATGTGTGGTGGTGGTGGTGGTTGAGTTCCACTGTATGTGGGGCAAATCGCAAATTGCAGAACTCTGTGTGAATAATCAGAATTCACGCATAATAAGATAATTACTGTAGGCGCAAAATCCCCTGTGTGTGTGTCAGTGTTTGTGTGGATACAATGTGAGTCATCACTTGAGTAGGTCACACAAACCCCCGTCTGGCTATTTCACATTTTACTAGTGCACATCTGTGTGTGTGTGTGTGTGAATAGTGGAGGAGGAAGAGGTCAGTGCTTTTCCTCAGGCAGCAGCAGGACAGGGATAATAATGTTAGCTTAAGTCAGTTACTTTAATCCACACATGTTAACATGGATCAAACTGATGCTTTTGGAAGTAAGGTTAGAAAAATACCTAATTTAAAAGATTAAATATGCACATCACTATTTCATGGTACTTGTTCTTTACCTGAATATTTATATAAAGTATATATTTTCAACATGCAAAAATTGAGATATTTTGAGGCTAATACTGTTTCGTGTGCGAGATTGTGAATGGAAGACTTTTCCTCCTTAAACATCTCGTAAAACATCTCAGTACTTCTTTTGAACGAAAGTGTGGTACTGCATTTCCTAATCTACATTTTGTTTTTACTCCTGCCAAATACTTCTACAAATACTGCACAGTTGCGAGCTGCTGCTGAGGTTTGTAGATTAAAAAAACATTCTGGAGGAAAACAGATTGCCTGAGCAATGAAATGGCTCAACATGAGAGGAGAAGGAGTGAAAGGGATCTTGTATCATCGTGGAAGTTTCCTAACTTTGGCTCAGATTGTGGAAAAGAAGGCGAAATGGATTTCAAATGTGTTTATTCTAATGAACTGTGACAAATCTGTCAGTGATTTGTGACTTTAAAGCTGGTGTAGTTATATTTTTGCAACTACTGAGCCGTAATTCCATCCATCCATCCATCTATCTGATCGATCATCTTCCGCTTATCTGGGCACGGTGGAAGTAGGGTATTCCAGGCATCCTTCTCCCGCGCCATATTGTCCAGCTCTTCCCAGGGGATCCCGAGACACCCCCCCCCCCCTCCAGATGGGAGATATAAACCTTTCAGTGAGTCCTGGGTCCCGGTTGGGGCGTGCCCAGTCAACATCCAACGAGTACCTCAACCACGTCATCTGAACCCTTTCGACATGAAGGCCCAGCAGTTCTACTCGGATCTCCCCCCCCAGAAGTCCAAACCCCTCACCCCGTCTCTAAGGCTGAGCCCAAACACCCAGCGGAGAAAACCCGTTAGCTGGTGACCACAGGTGAGGGTTAGAATGTGGATCGACCAGTGAATCAAAAGGTTTGCCTTGCAGCCCATCTCCTTCTTCACCACAACAAAACCTGCCGACGCCACACTGTCCGTCTCCGGCTCCATCTTTCCCTCAGGAACAAGAAGAACACTCCTTCATCTCAGGGTCCATAATAACCTTTCAGCATCATGTAAATCAAGTGATCTGAGAGAAAACCAGACTTCTGCACTTCCTCCAGGCTCTGTTTGTAGCCACGGGGAAATCTGGCCCGGGACGGGAGCGTTCAGCCAATCACAGGGCAGTTCAGAGAGAGGATGCTCCTATTGGCTGCTCGTGCCTGTCCCTGTGGTGAAGAGCCTGCCCTGAATCAATGGCAGAAGATGCTACAGGCAAAGGTCACTATTCCAGCAACTGCTTCCACTGAAAAACAACCCAACAGAGGAATTATAGAAGTAAGAGATTTAGAGAGCGTGAGAAAATGAAGTCCGTGCATCTGATTGTCTGGTGGCCGGGGATCAGGACTCTCCATCCTAAAACTTAGTCCGATTCTTAGACCTTCATGTCAACTGCTGCATAAATGGGTTCAATAGGAATACAGTTGAGTTTAATCCCCAGGATGTTAGAGTCTGTGATAAGTATCTGGTGCATAGTTGTGTTCTCGACAAGCAGAAGGTTGAGATGTTTTAAAATCAGTTGACAAAAGTGGAATAAGAGAAATAAAGATGATAAAAATGAAAATCGGTCCACTGGAGTGAACCGAGGCTGAAACCTGCTGTTAACACTGTTTCACCGTCTGTATTCGTTCCTCCTCGACTCATCTCGTCTGCCAAAAATCTCCTTCCTGTTTCATTAAAGGATGATTAAAGTGATTTTATGATTTCATTCATTTTTTAATGACTCTTTCATCAACTGGAAGGATGAGCCTGCTCCAGGGGTCAATTCAGGTTCACTCTTTCCAGCGTGTCCTGATTTATCCGTCTTTTTGTAAAAAAAAGTCTTTGTGAATTGGAAGATTTCTTTTTTTGAACTGAACAAAACCCAGATTTCATTGCACGGCGTTGCAATGCATTAAATCTTTACACTTTTTAAACATCAAACTCCTTTTATTATCATTTTGAGGATCGTGGTGAAAAAAACACGGTCCCTGGAGGCAGGAAGCAAAAAGCGTTTGAATGAAAACCATTGGCAGCTGCCGGTCCAGTCAGAGTCTGATGTTGTGTAATCCACGTCTGCTTCCTGTGTTGAATAAAGCATTTCATAAGGCCATCGTCATCGTGATCGTCCTCACACCCACACCTCATAAGTGTAAATTAAAAGCCATTTTTGTCCGTCTCCTGCTAAGTGGGTCGTTGGGACTAATCTCTGCGTCTGTGTCTCTTGGTGTTTGGGAGATTTGAAGCCCGCAGTCATCCCATTCATCTTTTTTCCATCAACACATCTCAGTCCCTCCCTCTCTTCTCGTCCCGCTCATCGTTCACCTTTTGTGTGCATGTGTCTTTCTCTACCTCCGTCTCTTATCAACACTCTCTCCCCCGTGTTCCTCCTGCCCTTCCTCCATCTTGCCCCCTCTCACCCTGTCCCATAAATGGACCGTGAAAATCCCATCAGACTGCAGGAGCGCGAGGGCGTTGATAAGTAATGAGCGAGTGTATATGAATAAGAGATGGCCGCCACTTAGTTAATATGGTGTCCTTCTTGTTGAGGGGAGATCAATGATCGTCTGGCTTCGTCCTCTCGCTCGCTCCTGCACTCGACACAGGCAACAGACGTCACGTTGCAGAGCTGTTGAGTTTCTGACACGTTGCTCGGTGAGGTCAGTACTGCAGAGCTGGTGTTTGGGGTATTTTTTTATTTCTTATCTGCTCTAGTGTAGCTTCATCTGGCATCTTCTTTCTCCGAGTCCTCTGCTTCCAGAGGACCAGACATAAACAGAACACTAACAAGAGTATGCTGACAGCAGTGTCCAACAGGAAGAGTCCAAATATCTAATACTTGGGTTTGATTCTCGGGATGTGAATCGTTCAACAACCGAAGTGAAAACATTCACATTCAGAGGAAATAAGGTTCAGCTGTCGTTAGACGACTACTTAGAAGATGTGAGTTCATCCTTGAGAGGCCAAGTGTGTTTGTAAGACCACAATCCAAAGACTGAGACGTGCTGAGGGGGACGGACTCGGTGGCCACAGCAGTGTTCGAGTCCTGTCTGTTTATCGGTTCCTGGAGCATCTCTCAAGGTTTACAGGGAGGAGGCCGTGCAGGAAGAACTTTCACTACAGGAAGACACAGTGATCCAGTTTCCTCTAATCAGTCGAGCAGAAAACACACTGTCTATTTAAAGCACATGTACACGTGCACGTGTGACCCAGCTCCATGCAGTGAAGAGCACTTGGCTCTGGCTCTGCTCTCAGTTAAATATTAAAAATGCACAAATGCAGAGTTGCTGCTTCTGCTGCTGCTGTGAGTGTTTCACTGTTTGCAGAGTCATCTTAATTACACTTAGATTTGAAATGGGACCATTACGACTTTTTTAAAACCATAGATATATGAGAAATATTCAGCATCATTTAACGTCTTAAGATCAGAGGATGAATCTATCTAACATATTTATCAGAGTAGTTATACGGAACATATTGTACTTAGGAAGGATGTTACTGGAATCATTGTTTTGTTTCAGCTCCAGCAAATGAATCATCACAAGAGAATCGAAATGACTCGGAGCTGATATTTAATCATATAAAATGAGCGGAATGCAGGAAAAAAATAACATCTGTGATTCAAGTGAGTCACTGATGTTGTTCTGGACACATCTTGGGAAACGTGTAGTTTCTAGATATCCTGTGTAATGTCTAGTTTTAAGTTGTGCTTCAG